TAAGGTTCAAACCTCCTCCCTGCATCCACAGTAAATCACACTGAACTGAGCTAAACTGAACTGAACTGAACTTAAACACTAAAACCTGAACCACACTGTTCCAGTTACTATGACCATTTATGTGAAGCTGCTTTGACACAATCTACATTGTAAAAGCGCTATACAAATAAAGCTGAATTGAATTGAATGGAATCAATATGATATCAAATTGATGTTGCACCGCAATGTACCCCAATGTCGTCGGGACCATGGATTTTGTTTGGAAATGAAAATCGTATTGACGTCTGAACCCATCATCAGGCCGACGTCAATGTCCAAAGTCCAACCTAAAAATCAACCAAATATCAACATCTAATCATGTTACACCTTGATGTTGTGTGGACGTTACCACTATGACATCTGTCAGACGTTAGATTTTGGTTCTTAATTTCTAGTTCTAGGACATCAAAAAAAGTCCTTAGACGCTGGCTAGACATTGCATTTTGGTTACCAGACATCATGACCTAAATCTAACTTATTATTCATGTCTTATGATGTTGTGTGCCTGCTGGGCTGTTCTTGAAGGATGCGCAGCTACTGTATGCCTACAAACCCCTCTATGAGTGTATTTCTTAAGAGAAAGACAGAGGGACTTGGAGGAGGATAAGAAAAAAAAATTGTCAGCTGACACAATGCTGCGTATATACCCATGTGATGATAATTGACACACCTGAATAATTAGGCACCTCCTGAACCTATTGTGAACTTCATTAAGTGTGGTTTAGAATATTGTGGCTGACGCTGTCCAACTGACATCAACAGAGAAGGACTGGTAAGCAATTGGTCAGACTTTCTTTGAAAATGACCAGAAAAAGTTTTCAGTATATTAACTTGCATTGATTAAAGAATAGCAATGTGCACTAGCAAAATTAACAGTTATAAAAGTACATTTTGGCATTACGGTGGCACAGTGAGTAGCACAATCGTCTCACAGCGAGAGGGTCATTGGTTCGAGCCTCGGCTGGGTCAGCTGGCATTTCTGTGTGAAGTTTGCATGTTAAAAGATGGTTAGTGACTAAAGACATCAAGTGAAGAAGTGTTTCAGGTGTCATTTTGTCCCATTCTTTCTGCAAACAAGTCCTGAAGTGGGCAACAGTACGGGGTCTTTCTTGTTGCATTTACTGCTTCAAACTGTGCCACAAATTTTCTATTGGAGACAGGTCGGGACTGCAGGCAGGCCAGTCAAGTCCTTGTATCCTCTTCCTTTGCAGCCAGGACTTTGTAATGTGTGCGGTTTTGCATACTTGTTGAAATATGCATGGGTGTCCCTGGAAAAGAAGGCAGCATATTGTGCTTCAAAATCTCTATGTACTTTTCAGCATTAATGGTGAAATCACAGAAGGGCAATTTATTTTCCCAAGGGCACTGACACAACCTCATACCATGATACACTCTGGCTTTTGGACTTGTTGCTAGAAACAGTCTGGATAATCCATTTTTACTTTGATCCAGAACACACCGCACTAATTTCTTCCAAAAATACTTGAAATACTGATTCATCTGAGCACAGTACATGTTTCCAATATGTGATGATCCATCCCAGACGCCTCCGACCCCAGAGAAGTCAACAATGCTTCTGCACACTGTTACCTTTTGGCACAGTACAGTTTTAACTGGCATTTGTGGATCTAACTATGTATTGTGGTACTTGACAAAGGCTTGCCAAAGTAGTCTTGAGCCCATGTGGTGATATTGCTTATTGATTCTTGATGCAGTGCCGCCTGAGGGATCGGATTTTAATTATGTGCACTGGTGAAACTGAAATATCCAAATGTCTTCCTGTCTTTCTTTGAGGAACATTGTTTTTAAACATTTTAATAATTTTCTCATGTATTTGTTGGCAAACTGGTGATCCTCTGCCCATCATTACTCCTAAAGGACTAGACCAGGTATAGGCAAACTTGATCCTCGAGGGCTGGTGTCCCTGCAGAGTTTTGTTCCAACACTAGTCAAACACACCTGAACAAACTAATCAGTGTCTTCAAGATCACTTGAACTCTATAGGGAGGTCTGTTTGAATAGGGTTGGAGCTAAACGATGCAGGACACTGGCCCTTCAGGATCAAGTTTGCCCACACCTGGACTAGACTTTTCTTAGATGCCGCTTTTGCACCAAATCATAATTACAGTCACCTGTTGACATCACCCATTTCAAATTACACCATTATTTAACCAGTTCACCTGATTACTAGCCCTAAATTGCTTTTGTCTCAAGGTAATGGTACTTTTTTGGATTGTGCTGCAGGTCTGAATGGCAGGAAAGGATGTATATTTACAAATGAAATGAAGTTGAACAGACAAAACATGAAATATGTTGTGTTCATATTGTCTGCAATGAAATACAAGTCAAAGTAAATTTGGGAAATCGTTACTTTCTTTTTTTTTATTTGCGTTTTACATTCTGTCCCGACCTTTTTTGACTTGATCACAGCAAAAGCCTATTTTTTGGGGACCTTTATTAGTAAGAGTGTAAACTATTGTTTTGTGGTTGTCTTTTCTTAAAGACCGCACACTCTGAGCATCACATTTGTCTGTGAAACCATGTCTAATTTATAAAAAGAGATGATAATACAATTAATTCTTTGTGAAACGAATATATCTGTAATTTAGATGTTGGTGATTTGTACATATGCAGCTGTCAACTGCTTCCTCCAGAGGTTGAATCCTTTGAAATAAGAGACAGCTTGTGTGTGCCCGAGAACAGTTTTTAGTCTTAAACCTGACTCGCAGCACTTCACATTTTATGTTGTGCTTATTAAACAAACCTGATTCAAATCACAAGCTCATTACAACTGAAAGCCCTGAACTGTGCGTTTCAGATGAGATATAGACAAAATGTGCGGGTCTGTGGTGCCCGCAGAATGAGAAATAAAAAAACTGGAAATTGCCATGGGTGACATTCTGTAGTGTAACCATATCAAAATGATTTGTGATTTATAATTGAGTGTGACTGGTAAGGATGACATGCATACAGTGCATCTGTGAAATACATGTATTTAGAGCTTAAAAAGGCTTATGGATTTTAGAGATAATAAAAATGCTATTGTTTTTAGTAAATTATGCAAAGCGAGTGATGTATGGCACAGCACATCCAGTGCCAAGAGAGAGGGGCTGTTGAGATTTGAAACAAGCAATGGCAATTCATCTAATGGCTTATGCACATTCTGTTCCCATTTATATCTGCTGAGCTGTTGCATTCTCAAATCCCAGGGGTGTGATCTTGTACTAGTGTAAGAATGTGATTCACACTTGCACTTAGAAGATGCTGACCTGCTGTACAATACCTCCACAGAGACTTAACAATTGCAAAAAGACAAGCAAAGCTATGGGTACTTGTATAAAAGTTGTGTATAGTTTCTGTATAGATAAACAGCCACTGTTGCATCACACCATGGTTTGTTTTCTTTCATCTTCTGCACTGTTGACTCTGTTTACTACTTTTAAACTTTTTTTCCCAAGGTTAATAAAATCACAGAACATTTTTATATGCTGATTTAGACTAGCAATTTTAGTAAGCACCCTCTTCATGTGTCTCATAACAGAACGGATATATATATATATATTTATTATGCTCTTGTTTGTTATTTAATTACTTCTGTCTTTAGTAACAATAAGTGAAATTACACAATTTTCACAATTTATTTTACAAATTAAGTGACAATTACATGATAGCATCACGCAGTTGCTGCAGATTTGTCGACTACACATCCATGATACTAATCTCCCATTCCACCACATCCCAAAGGTGCTCTATTGGATAAAGAAATGGTGACTGTGGAGGCCATTTAAGTACAGTGAACTCATTGTCATGTTCAAGAAACCAGTCTGAGATGATTCACGCTGTATGGCATGGCGCATTATCCTGGTGGAAGTAGCCATCAAAAGATGAGTACACTGTGGTCATAAAGAGATGGACATGGTCAGCAACAATACTCAGGTAGGCTGTGGCGTTGACATGATGCTCAGTTAGTACTAATGGGCCCAAAGTGTGCCAAGAAAATATCCCTCACACCATAACACCACCACTACCAGAACCATTGAAACAAAGCAGGATAGATCCATGCTTTCACATTGTTGATGGCAAATTCTGTCCCAGCCATCCGAATGTGGCAGCAGAAATCGAGACTCAGACCTGACAACATTTTTCCAATCTTCTATTGTCCAACTTTTGTGAGCCTGTGAGAATTGTAGCCTCAGTTTCCTGTTCTTAGCTGACAGGAGTGGCACCCGGTGTGGTCTTCTGCTGCTGTAGCCCATCTGCCTTAAAGTTGGATGTGTTGTGAAATGCTCTTCTGCATACCTCGGTTGTAACGAGTGGTTATTTGAATTACTGTTGCCTTTCTATCAGCTGGAACTTGCCCATTCTGCCCATTCTCCTCTTCCCTCTGGCATCAGCAAGACGTTTGCGCCCACAGAACTGCCGCTCACTGGATATTTTCTTTCTTTCTGACCATTCGTTGTAAACCATAGAGATGGTTGAGTGTAAAAATCCCTGTAGATCAGCAGTTTCTGAAATACTCAGAACAGCCCGTCTCGCGCCAACAAACATGCCACATTCAATGTCACTTAAATCACCTTCCCCATTCTGATGCTCAGTTTGAACTGCAGCATATCGTCTTGACCATGTCTACATGCCTAAATGCATTGAGTTGCTATGTGATTGGCTGATTAGAAATTTGCGTAAAAGTAGTTAAACGTGTACCGAATAAAGTGGCCGGTAAGTGTAAAGCCTTTGCATAAAAGTGCAATATTATGTCATTATCCTTATTTACTCAGTTCATACTTTAGCTGATACAAAACAATCAAGAAGCCACAAAGAAATGACAGGGAAAAAATGAAGGCAACTGGATGTTCTGTGCCTATTTAGCAATAGCCTATATTGTTTGTTTTTCTATTATTCTTCTGTACCTCTCATTCTCTCTCTCTCTCTCTCTCTCTCTCTCTCTCTCTCTCTCTCTCTAATGGCACAGCATCACCTGCCCTCATTTCTTTATTCATAAAGCCTTATGAAGTGCCAGGAGATTCAGCCATGAAGTGGCGAGGACGCAGAAACACCAGTTGTTTACCATGATTTTTGACAGTCTCTGTGGTGAAAGTCCCGTATTCACGGAGAAAACCGTTTAGGATTCGGATTAAACGGCGTTTGCGCAGCTCCATCCGATGATTTTATGTAGACTGTGATCGGAGGCTCATGCGTGCAGTAGACAAGACGATCGACCGCGCGAGATACAGGCTGTTTAGACATGTAGAGGAGCTGCGTTTGCAGAACTGCGATAAAACGCGTCCGTGAAGAGGAGGAAAATTCAGCTCGGAGTACATGTGGGCTTTTTAGAGAAATCCGAGAAACACTGACGTTTAAGTTGCATGGGGCTATTTTCTTCTCTGCAAGCGGGTAAGTAGGCTACTTCACCTGTTCCTTTGCTTTAAGTCAGTCTCTCCACAGCATGTTCTCGTTTTCGGCTTCTCCTGATTATCTTCACCCTAAATGTTTTGGTTACCTAAAATGTGACAATTACAGTAAAACCGTCTTACTTCTTAGTGTATTTGGACACAAAAATATTTCAAGGGTAGCTATACCGACCACATTGTTTTTTTTAGTTATTATTAGCCTATATTCTGCCATGTAGGTACTGTACAGTACCTCGTCCAAAGTTTGAATGAGTATGCTTTTGTATCTATCTGTCTGTCTATCTATCTATCTATCTATCTATCTATCTATCTATCTATCTATCTATCTATCTATCTATCTATCTATCTATCTATCTATCTATCTCAAAGGTCACTGTGTGTCACTTCTGAATTATGAGCCTACTGTAGACAAATGCTTGTTGCTCTAGTCAGTTTGGTCTCTCTTGATTCTGAATCATTGCACCTGCACACCCACCTGAGATCCCAGTATCCCATGAGATGTAACGCTCTTAGCATGAACTCTACAAGCCAGAGACTACAATTAAAATATAATCTTATGAAAATGCTATAAAAAAATGTCCACTCCCTTCTGATTTCCCTCTTTGTCTCTCTGCTCTCTTTTAATTTTGCAGTTCTCCTGCACAGTCCTCTTGTTTTTACTAATTCTGATATAATCAAGACTAGCCAGATTTACTCCAAGGCATGTGAGTACTTTTTCCTCAAATGCCAAATAATGTGCACCTTTTGTAAAGCTGCTTTGGGATGATAATTATTGTGAAAAGTGTTTTACAAATACACTTCAATTGAAATGAAAACCAGTTATTCCCTTTGAACGATTTTGTACATAATTTGGCTACAGTTGAGGGGATAAATCTGTGTACTGACGTGGTTTACACAAGAAAAAGTGTGTTTTTTGATGTTTAAATTTAGTTTCCACATTAAAGATATGTGTAGTGCTGCTTGTGAAGTAATATGGTCAAATACAAAATGTAAGTAAGTACTTAGTAGCCTTGCTAATGAACATAAAGTTAAACTAAATATCTCAGAGTACTGACGTTGACGTCATCAAAGTGTAAATGATGAAGATGCATATTTTGTTCTTAACCCATTTGAAAGAGAAACAGCAACTCTTACATAATGACGACTTTCTAATTATCTCAAATGTGGCACAACTGGACATCTGGAGGATGCAATACTTCATTACCAGTCCCTCAAAGCACAGCAAACCAGAAAATAGTTTTTAGTTTTTGCAGTTGTTGCATCTGAATTCAAAAGAGTAGTTTACCCCCTCCAAAAAGAAAATGTTGTCACCATTAACTCACACTCAATTTATTTTATTTATATATTTTTTTCAGCTTAAAGGTTCAGTATGTAATGCCTAGTTCAGACTGTGTGATTTTAGCCCCGATTTTGGCTCGCCGACAGGTTTTGAGAAATCGCTGACAAATGCCTGAAATCACAGGCAAATCGGTGCTCGTGCACGTGAGTGACAATCACACAATATGAACTATCCAAGACGAAATTTTCATACAGAAAGAAATTAGTTATCAACTTAAGTTGAGGAGAAATCGCTAATTCCATTTTAACCCAAGTGAGCAAATATGTAAATTTTTTACCCCATTAAAGGCTTCTTTCTCATGAATCTCAAGAATCGTTGTCAGCGATTCTTCCTATTGTAAAGTCATGCAAAATGAAATTCCCTGTTGCCGATCCATCTTGCATGGTAAACAAAGCAGCGACAAAACGCTAGCCCAAATAGTCATGCAGTGTGAAAACATCTGTGACACGACTACTTTAAAAAGCATAAGTTTGACACACAGTGGTTGAGGCAGGTTTTGCATTCCTAGATAAAAACACACAATGCTGATTTAAATCATGTTCTAAATAAAAACAATACATTTCACATTTAGATTACGGACGCATACTTTGAAAGCCTTTCTGACTGAATGAATGAAATACACGGTTTTCCAACAAGGGTGCTGAAATATACTTGGCTAATGTACCATTTGGTGGGTTAAAAGAACAAAAACAGACAGACGTTCTGGCACGTAACGCACATTTTCAAAGCAGAATATCTGACTTCAGCATTGTTGTTCAGTTAGCATGTTTCTTAAATATCTGCAAACATATTATAGTACTTTTATGCTTTAGAACAATCAAAAACTTACAAGCAGCACCTTTAACACTAAGAAGATTTTTTGAAGATTGTTGGTAACCAAACAGTTTCAAACAGTGGAAACAAAAATAAATATTTGTATTAAATATAAACACATGTAAATATTTAATTAGTGGCTTTTGTAAACTTGTTACCTACATTTTTAAAATACTTTTCTTGGCATTTAACAGAGAAAGTAACTCAAAAATGGTTGAAACTATTGGAAGATGAGTACGTAATGACAGAATTTTCATTTTTAAATTATACTATAATAAGAGTATTTTTCTGTAAACACTCTCTGAATTAAACTGCTATAGCTGGGAGTGAAGATGCACTGTCATGTTGTAGTCCATGTTGTACATGAGTGTGGCCACAATTCTTTGACAACAGCCTCTCTTACTGTTTATTTCCTATTGTTTATCACTTTTTCATTCTTTCTCCCTTTCAGATGAGAACACCATCTTTCTTTGCAAAAAGGAAAAGGTCAAAGTTGGAACCTGTCTGGTCAATCGTTTAAGATGTTATTATAGGAAAGACTGTGGCAGGGAGTACATGTTAATGAAACTGATTTGTTCAGGTAAGCAAAACATCCAACTTTTTCTATTTTGTAATGAAAATGTATTCAGAGTGTGGAGATTTGTTCTATTTCCTCCATGATTTTGGGTTTATTGCAGTGTGTTTTTCTGGGTATATCTGTGTGTTTTTGTGCTGATATGTTGACTGATTTAAACCTGTTATGAAGAAATGAATATAACACTGAAATCGCCAGTAGGTGGCAGCGAGTCACACTCCACTCCAAGGCATTGGCTTGAAGGAAGATGTCTCTAAAGCTTTGTGCTGATGAGATCATCATAGTGAAATAGCCAATCACATCCAACTTAGACCGCAACTCAAAAAAGGCCAAATAGTCTGTTATGCATATACTACATCAAGCGCATTAAAGTGTGCATACGAAATGTGACATACTGCATGGCTACGTCTGATATTGCACACTTCCATACTATTTAGAGCATACTTTCCTAATGGTATTTTAGTAAAATAAAATTAATGTGTAGTACATACTTGATTAATGTTGATTACTGTAGTCTGTAAACCCATTCTCTGATTCACACTCCGGAGCTGAAGGTGGCGGTAACTATTAACGACAATCACTGTAAAAAGTAGAAGAAGAAGAAGAAGAAGAAGAAGAAGAAGAAGAAGATGTCTATTATGTAGCAACCATAGAAATCTATTATAATATATAGGGTTCAGGGTTGTAACCCGCATTTCATGCTTTCTGTTGGGTTTAGGTTTAAGGTGGGTGTAGAGGTTAATAACACACACTGTAATGTCTAATTTAATAAATAATACAAATAATTCTCATTTCGTATGGACGTAACCATTCTACATGCATTCATTCATAAAATCTAAATAATTCAGGACAGTCACTATGCATGTGCGCTAACACATATGTGACATACACGATGTTGTCATACGTAACTTCGACATTTGTCACTGTGTTACAGGCTGCAAAAAGGCACAGAAGAATAAGTAATGCAGTAGTAGTAGTTGTTGTTTTTATCAGAAATTGTATAATTATAAAATTATTGGAGTCCCAGTATGTATATAAACATTTATTTTGAAGCACTGAGTGATTACCAACCACAATGTTTATACGTTTTTTTCTTAATTTTGACATATCGCTATTATCTGGTGTTGTGCAAATGTGATTGGTTACCGTCTGCACAAGTATATTTGCATAAAGTGATCTGCTTTGCGTTTGGAAAGTTCTGCCTCAGACTCAATGCGACTTAAGTCTGGTTGGAAATGCTTGACGTCAAGTAAATGAGAAGTGATCATGATGATGCCCAGTGTGAATGGGGTGTTAATGAGTGATTCATTGGTTTTGATGATTTATTCAAAATTGCTGTTTCATTTAAAAACAAGGCAAATGACTGTTGCCCAATTCCGGATGGCATACTTCATGTGCAATTGCAGCAATGGCTGCTATGTGCGCATGTCAGGAGAATCTAAGAGACCATAAAGTTTCCACTGTAACCATCATGTGTACCTCAATGTGCTTTTACGCCAAGTCCATAGATATATGAATTCTACAGTCAAAGCAAAGTGACAGGGGTCAAGGGCATGGGTTCTCAAAGTCTTTATTCAAGGTCCAGATCTCTCAGTCTAATGTGACATATGGCGGTTTAATTTTTAGTTTAATTTTCCACTGTGGTGATAACAATGGATGTCTTTTAAATAGAAATCTGTCAGGCGATTCTTAGTAATGTAAACAGCAACATGAATGATTATCAGATATTTATGTTTTTTTTTTTTTACTGTTTTTCTCTGATATTTTTCTGATATTTTTCTTTGAGTTAGTTTTTTTTTCTTTTTTAACTATTTATTAAATTAAATCAGTTATTAGAAACGAGTTATTAAAACTAATATGTTTAGAAATTTGTGGAAAAAAATATTCTCTTCATTAAACCGAAATTAGGGAAAAATAAACAGGGAGGGCTAATAATTCTGACTTCAGCTATATATATGTAACCCCACCGATCCAACACCACCCAACCTACTTTGAGCTGGGGTTGAACACAGCGACTCTCCGCATGGGAGACGGTTGCTCTAACAAGGAAGCTAAAGACCATGGCCTATAGCTTCTGTTGTTAGAGCACCTTTTCGGATTCAGAGGAGTGAGGTTTACCTGCACAGCACTTCACTAACTGGCCTCCATTACACTCAGCCCCCTAAATCTAACTCCCATCTGGGTCACGGCACCAATTTGGAGGGAACTTCGTCTGTCCCACAAAGAATCCCCCGACACCACTAGCAGTGCATTTTATTTTATTAGCAGTTTATTCAAGACAGGACAGTGATAATCACCACACAGACACACTCTCAGTTCTTTGTTCTGCCTCACTCAAGAGTGGTACAGAAGCCAAAGGAAGTGACATCACATAACTTAAAACTGATTTTAAAACAAAAAATTGACATTTTCTGTCTACTTTTGTAAGGCTATTAATAATGTTATTTGTAAGAAGAGAAAAATAATAAGAAAATAAAATAATTTATTAAAAAATATTATTTATAAAAACAGACAGATCGACAGACAGACAGACAGTGTATGCTACACTATTAGTGCCGTTAAAATGTGAAATGGACGTGGGTCCGGATTGAATTCTCGAGATCTGGACCAAACTTTGAGAAACCCTGGTTTAGTGTGGTATTTGAGATTGGGCCTTTTATTATGAATGTATCATTGGATCAGTGGATTCTTTTAAAAACAGATTCATTCAGGAATAAAATCCTATATTGTTGCTCTGAGACACACATTTTATTAATTTGTTTCTTTCTTCTATTCATGTTCTTGGCAAAACTGAAACAGTACATGTTTGTATCCTACATGTAATTCACTCAGTAATTACTTTGTATCTGTTGAACAGTTGCATAATATCAGTGCTAAATGTGCAATCATGCTCTCATTCTATTTGGGAAAACAGCATAATCTCTCATAAATATGAAAAACAATAGACCTCACAAGGATATTCGGTCACTTGAATAGTTTCAGGGCAGTGCAGTGGCTAAGTGTGTACAGCAAGAAGACTCCCGGAATTAGTGTGTGTAGTGTGTGAATAGAAGAGTGTGAGTGTGTGTTTTCCAGCACTGAGGGTTGTACTCACAGTACTGGGTTGCGGCAGGAGAGGCATCCACCAGTAAATTATTTACCAGAGTAATTGGTGGTTTATTCCATTGTGGTGAAGCAAGGGAAAAACCGAAGGAGAGTGAATGAGTGAATTGTAGTTGCATTTTTACTACATCCTAATAGTCTTCATCAGTTAATGCTTCAAACCTTTTTTTTGTTTGTTTTTTTGCAAACATGAGGTTGCACATCGATACTAAATTGATATTATCTTAGAAGAGCTTCATGATAAAATCACACATAATAAACCTGTGGAATGGCTTTGGAACATTGTGATCACATTTAATGTGCATTTCTCAAATGTTTCACATAATGATTTTAACACGTGACACTCATTATGTGTTCATACAATATGAGGTTTTGCAGTAAGGGTGCTCATTCTCAAGCATTTCCTATAGTTTGTGCTTTACAAAGAACATTTGACATGTTCTTTATAGAGTCCAGGCTCCACACATTTGTAATGTTGATACCAGTTTTATCCTGAGGAATAAACAAACTGTAGGCAGCTAGTTGGGGGTCGAGACAGAAACCATGGTAACGCCGCAAGAAGTTGTGATTCAACTGGGCTATCTTGACACTGAGTTGATTAAGCAGTGTTGTTTTTAAAGAGAGCGCTTTCCTCCTCACTTTCTCCGGCACCTTCAGTGAGTTAAGAGTTACAGCACAGCAAACTATAAAGTATATGTGCTCATATATACGTTTTGCCGAAAGCAATATTTCTCCTCATTGAATTACACAAAGAAAGGTTATACCAGCCCTCATATATCATTTTCTATATGCAGCGCAAACAAATTCAGTAAGACTTTTTTTTTTGCTCATACTGAATGTTAATACATGCCTAAGGGACTGCAGAATTGTAATCAGAAGCTCATCTTTTGTTGCTGTAATTATTATTCGAGACCAGTATTGTAAAACCTGAGGCATCTGATTACATTACAGTGTTTTTGTTTGTTAGTTTTTACTTGGATAACCATGTTTGCTTAGCGGCTACTTTTCTCTTTAAACACCTTTAGAAGGGACAGGAAGTCCCCTCAGCAAAAGCGCATTAAAGGTATCTGCTAATTCACACTGACCTTTGGCTAAACTGTTTACTGACTGAGGAAAATGCATCAGCCAACAATGATGATGTCACAAGGCATTCGACACGTAGTAAGAAGACAGGACGGTTGCATTTTGATTGACACCACCTCAGAGAGCCCAAAAGTTGAGTTCTGGGTGATAAAAAAGTCAAACCTTAATAGACTGATCAATAGACAGATCGGTTTACCTGTCACTAATTGTCGCTATTTATGTGTTAATTTTTATCTTATTTTATTTATTTATTTATTTATTTATTTATTTATTTATTTTTTGATTTCATTTTATTTATTTCATTTTATTCATTTTATTTTTATTTTTTTATTTTCTTTCTTTCTTTCTTTTCTCTCTTAATGCTGTAGGAATAATGATTGTTGAGTTGACCTTGTGTTCAATATATTACTTTTGTATTGTTATTCAATACAATATTCATACTCAATACAATACTTCATATTCATGATTCATGAGACCATAGTGTTCAAAAGAAACCCCAGATGCACGTGATCACTGTTACCCTGATAAGGGCAAGAGTTTTAAGGAATAGCCATTATTCTGATAAATCCCTAAACCAAAAGAGCACTGATACATTAATAAAGCTACCCCTGAGCACTTTTTGTTTGATTTTGGATTTGCATATAGCAATGTTATGATCAATGAAACTTTAGCGAAACAATGCACAATTTCAACATGTCTCAGGTATTGTCAGAGATAATATGTATTTTAATGGTATGCTAATTTACAGACATTAAGATTTTATTATTCTATAAAATACTATAACATGTAATTCCAACCACATTTATGACAGGACAGCACAA